GGCACACTCACCATTAACAAACAGCACTTGGGTGGCCCCTGGGGCCTGGCCACCATAATAGGCGTTGGTCTGGGCCACAGCCTGGGCTACAGATGAGGTTGAAAGCCCAAACACCTGTTCACATAACTCAAGCTGGGAAGGCAGAGCTGGGAGCTGGGAGAAAGGGCACCCAGGGACCTCACAGGTGACGTCTGTGGAGAGAGGAATTCATCAATGTGGAATATATAGCCAGCCCCCTACCTCTTTAATAATCATGTACAGAGCTCTCCTCAGTGACAACTGAGACAGTTCCAGACCCTCCCTTCTGTGAGTTCATGGTCCTGTCAGAGAGATACTCAGCCCAAGACACTGATGGCCCAGAATGATCAGGGCTGTGATGGAGTAATGTCTGGAGTGAGGTTGGGGGTGTCTCAGAGGGAGCATAATGAGCCTGGACCAGCTTGAGATGGCTTGTCTGGGCACAGTAGAGACTGTATGTTTTGGAGGTGAGAGTTGGGCCAGTCACTCACAGTAGCCGAACTCGGTACAAGTTTGGTACAACCACTGCCGGTCACCCACACTGGGTACTTGGAGTTCTGTGACCCTCAGCTGTGCCACTGTCTCCACTCGAGAAATGCTTAAACACTTCTGACCCAGGCTGTGTGTGACAACCTAAAGGACAATACACATACATATATGCAGACATACATTCCTTTCCATCAACCCTCCCCCACCACCTTGCCATCAAGCCAGGGCAGGGCCTGGAGCCATCGGTCCTACAGGTCAAAGGTCAGAAGTCAGAAGAGTGAGTTTCTGAGTTTTCCTGGGTTCACTGGTCAGAGTTGCTGCGGACCTAGGTCCCTGTGGGTTAGAAATTAAGCTGCTAGATGACTAGGAGCTTCTCACCTGTAAAGTTGATCTTGGGCAAGTGAGATCTCAGTTTCCTCAGTTGTGTGTGGGGACGATAGTAGTGTTTACTTCCTAGAACTATTTTAAGAATTCAGTGAAATAATATATGTGAAGCACACCGCACAGCATTTGGTGCAGACATCGATGGAAAAGTGAGAGCAGGATTGTAGAGGTTGGGAGTAGGAGGGAGTCCGAGGCTAGGAGCCCCTGTCTCTAGGAGAACTGTGTTCCGAGGACAACTGTGTCCCCTGGACGAATGTTTTTCGTTCATTCTACAAATACTATTTGAGAGTTTGCTGTGTGCCAGACGCTCTTGAAAGCCCCAGAAAGAGGACAGAACAATGTAGGCAAAATAGTAAGCACAGTCGCTAACATTTGCCTACTGTGCTCCAGGCTCCCTGTTCCCTAGGGCATGCTCTCCTACCTCATTTCACCTCCGAGATGTAATACCCATTTTACAGATGAGGAAACTAAGGTGCAGAAGGGTTTATGCTTGCCCAAGTTCACACAGCGGAGGTGTAACAGGAATCCTCGCTCTGCTCACTCTTGGCGGTGCTCGGGGTTCTCACCTGCACTGCCCGACGAAGCCCGCGGTAGGGTGCAGAGCCGCTGCAGTTGCCCCGATTCTCGAGGAGGAGTCTGCAGAGCAGTCGCACACTCAGCGGCGCTCCAGCCTGCCCATCGTACTGCACCGCACCTCCCACGAGTGCCTGCAGCGCCCCCAAGAGCTCTGCCTGGTCCTCAGCGCGCTCCAGGGACCCGCACGCTGCCAGGTCCGCGCGCAGCGCTGCCCGAGCCGCCCCGCTAGCGTGCAGCCGCCGCTCCACCTCCGCAAAGGCTGCAGACGCCGCCGCCCGGCACTGCGGAGAGCGAGAGGCAGCGTTGGTGAAGACTTGGTTCCGGAGTTCGGCCTTTCCCTTTCCGTGACCCTCATCCTCCCTGGGCTCCCCACTTTTCCACATTCAAATTCATCCAAGGGGCAGTTGAAAGTCGCTTTTGCTCGCGGCCTCGCCCTCTTCCGGCTCCTCCTCCGGGCCGTCCCACCCCAGGCCCCGCCCACACTAATACAGCCTCCTGATAGGGTCGTCCGTCCTCAGGCCCCGCCCCCGTATCAGCCCGCCCCTGTTGGATCCTCCCTTCTTAGTACTCAGATCCATCTTCAGCTCTCGCGTTCTTCCCAAATTCACCCATCTCTCGGGGCTCCCGTCTCTGAGACCCCAACGCCTTGCAAGCTTCAGCCGTTTTCTCAGGCCCCCATCCTAAAGGCCTTTTCTCTTTCCCCATCCCCCTCCGACTGGGCCCCAACTCATACCTCCAGGGATCCGCCAATCGCAGTGTTCTTTAGGCTTCTAGACACCACCTAAAGTCCGGCCGCGGGAGAATATCAGGTGACCCGCACCACAGAGACCCCCCTCCCCCCAGGCCCACCGCCCGCCATCCTTACGTCATTATACTTGGAGAAATCCAATATGGCCCGCACCGGAGCGGAAGAGGCGATGGAGGCAAAAAAGAGATGGGGAAACTGAGGGAGGACAAGTTATCAGCCTGGGGGCTGAAGGACTGGGATCCCATATCTGCCGCCCCTGTGTCACTCGTTGTGTGATCTCAGGCAAGTCCCTACCTTCTACACACCGAACACTTGTGAGGCAGATTGGGATGGGGGGTGGGGGTGGNTTTTTTTTTTTTTTTTTTCTTTCCCTTTGGCAGTACCACAAGGCTTCTGGGATTTTAGTTCCCCGATTAGCAGTGATCAAACCCATGACCCCTTCAGTAGAATCGTGAAGCCCTAATCACCAGGGAATACCCTAACATCTTTTTTTCTTTTGAATCCCAAATGCTTTCTCCCCTCCCTAACCTTTCTGAAACAGTTTGCAGTTAGTGTCATCCTACTGCAGTTGGAAACTAGTTTAGCTTGTGAAAAGATTAAGAGACAGAGAGGAATATACAGGCAGAGTGATACAGATGGAGACACACAGAGATGGAGACAAGAGTGAGGCAGAGAAAGTCAGGCTGATTACAGACAGACTCAGAGAGATAGCAAGCAGAGAAAGGAGAGAGATAAGTCCTGGGGGGAACAATAAAGTAGGTGAAGGGGGGAAGAAAGAGAAGGGATTTGGTAATAGGAGTAGGGTGCACTGAAGGAAGTGAGAGAGGGAGCTAGACAAATATCTGGGGAAAGCCCACTCTTTGAAGAAGGCAGAGTTCAAAGGCTCAAGGAAGCGACGTGCCTGCAAGTCTGGAGAACAGCAAGAACTTCAGTGTACCTGGAGCCCAGTAAGAGGGAGAGAGAGAGGCCAGAGAGCTAACTGGGGATCCTCCGAAGCCAGCATAGGAGCTTCCAAAGCAGATCCAGGGGCTGGTGGAGGAGATGTTGTAAATGCTTTGTCTTTGCTCTGAGTGCGATGAGAGATGTGAGGGATTTGAGCCAGGAGAGAGGTGATCTGGTTTATCGTCTAATGATCACTCTGGCTTCATCTGGAGAATAGACTGATGGGATCAAGGACAGAAACAAGGAGACCAGTGAGGAAGCTGTGTCATCCACGTAAGGGATTCTGGTAGTCTGGACCAGCAGGTCATAGGGTGATAGCAAAAGCTAAGAATACAGTGGAAGAGGTGGGGAAATAAAGGATAGGGAAGGAGAGAGCTCTATGCAGAGACATAAAAAGAAAGAGTAAAACACTGAAAGACAGAGAAGAAAAGATAAGACCAGGGACTCAGAGGTCAACTTTGGGCAGTGGAAGAAGAGACAAAGATGCAGAGAAGCCAAAATACAGACATCCTCTGTCCCATGACCCCAAACATTCCCTACCCCCAACTCACGCATGGCGGCTGGACAAGAAGCGGAGCTGGGCCATGTCCAGCCCCTCAGCAGGTATACTCAGGCCATAAAATCGATGTTCCAGACTTATCACCAGGGCCCCCCAGATTGGGGCCAGATTTGCAGGGTGCCCTGTGAAGAGTCCAAAGGGGATGTGTGTGAGGCGGGTGTCAACTCTTGCAAACCTCAGGCTTCACAGCACTTCACAGTATGCAACTTCCCTTCCTTGCCTCCACCAGCTTCCCCCTGTCTTTCCTCATCCTTGCTTCTTACCTCTCATCACTGAGCCAGGTCCAAGGCTGCCTTCACCGCCCAGATGCAGGAATACAGGTCCATCCTGGCTGGTCCAATGTTGGTCATTTACCCAGTACCGCTAAGAGGTGGGATGGGGAAGAAGAAATGGAATTCTGAGAGTTCTGACCTACTCTTTATTCCCGGTTCATTCTGGTCTCTTTCCCTAATGGATCTTTTTAATCTGACATTGACTTGTTTATTTACATGTTCATTTCTCTCCTGTTTGTCTCCTCATCTAGAATGTAATATCTACAAGGGCAGATATTTTTGTCAGCTCTTTCACTCTGATAACTCCAGGGTCAAGAATAGTGGCTAGCAAGTGGGAGGCACTTGCTCTATATTGAGATAACTATTGTATAATAATTAATGAATGCAGGTGGATTTAGGAATAAGGTCTATGTGAGATGACCTTTGGAGATTGTGGGGAGAGCAAGTGTAAAAGAGTAGATATAAAAGTGGTAAATCTGTTCATTCATTCAATATATATCTTCAAGTGCCTATTGTGAGCCAGTTCTGGTTCCAAAGCTGGTCCAGATTTTTGCTCCATATTGAGACTTGGTGGTGGGTTTGGTGATTAATCTGAAGGACAGGGAGAAGGGGGGTGGTAGTTGAGGGGCAATGAGGGAGTGAGAGTGAATGACAGGGAAAAGGAAAGACTGAAGGATAGGACCCGAGGAACAAAAAAAGTGGGAGGCTAAAGAAAGGAAGGGGAGACTAGGGATAGAGGGCAAATCTAAGAAACAGAGGGGCTAGACTAAAGGGACATAGGGATACTGACAGCAGATATCAGGTAAGGCTGATGGGGAGAGGGATGAGGTGACAGAGGTGTAGAGATAGAAATAGAAAGCAGAGAGTGAGGGGTGGAGTAGGGTGGGCTCAGTAGGGACTGAGAAGGGAGTAGGGTGGGCAGTGGAACTCTGCTCTCCTGGCCTTACCTGCAGGAAGGAGCGTCTGTCAGAGGCATTGAAAGGGTCCAGTGGCTGCTCCAACCACCCCTCTTTTGGGAGGGTCACAGAATCTGGGCCCAGCCCCAGGCCCAGGGCTGAGCTCTCCTGAAACCTCAGGATGTGCTCACCAAGGCGCCGAAGGAGGGAAGCTGTGGGACGTGGAGGGGAAAGAGTCGGGCCAGGCCCCCTTGGGGCCCCCTCAGGCCCTGCCTGACTCTCAGGATCCTCCTACCTGGAGTTGAGGATGCCCAGAGGGAAACCAGGAGCAGAGGGCCCAGCCATGGCACAGGCCCGATGGCCATGCTGTCCAGTCCTTTGTGGGAGGGTTCTAGGGGCTGTGTTCCCTCCACTCACTCAAGACTTCCTCTGTTGTCCCCAGGGCTGGCCTTTCAATTTATAGTCTTTGATCAGGAGCTCAGGTATGTTTACAGACTCTTGTCCTGGAACAGGTCAAGCTTCTGTTGGAACCATTCAAGCAAGGCAGCAACGCTAGAGTCTGTATATAGAGACCTGCGGCTGTGGCCTCTGGATATCCAATTCTCTCTCTGCTCTTGATTTTCTCCTCTTTTGTCCCCTGATCTCCCTTCCCTCTGGCCCTCAGTCTCCATGCCTGTGCCTCACTCTCCCCTCTCCTTCAGGGGCCATCTCTTTCTACCTCAGGAGCCCGTCTTTCCCCCTTCCTCTCTCTGCCCTCCGGCATACTTTCAGTCCCCCTCATTTTGCCCCAATACTCAGTCTGTTCTTCTCTTTGTTCCTCGATTCTCTTTCCATCTTCTCTCTACTTCAGGCTCTCTCTTTCCTCTCTCTCTCTCTTTCAGTCTTGGCATGTCTATTTTCCAGTCTCCCCCTTTTTTCCTGCTCCCCATCAGTCTCACCCCCACCCTCTGACCCACAATCTCACCACTTTCCTTAGATCCCTTATAGCACTTTGAATATTTCTGCAGCAGCAGAATATTACTTCTGCCTCAGAACGCTTGCCCCTGCTCCTGTCACTCTCTGGTTTCCTATTTCTCCATAAATCTTCATGGCTTCCTCCCTCACCTCAGTCAGATCTCTATTCAGAGTCCAGAAAGGGTCTTCATGGTCATCTCTTTAAAAATTGTCAAACCTGAGCTCGCCAGCCCAAGGAATATCACAGTTACCTAGGGAGCCTGTTACATATGCAGATTTCTGGCCCTACTCCAGAGATTCTGATCCAGTGCGCCTGGGTAGGAGGTGAGGACGCTGCATGCCTACGAAGTTTGCTTGTAGTAATTTTCTGGCAAACAGGATCAGGAATTGGGCAGGGAGCCCAGGGCAACAGTAGGGTCCCCATAAAAAAAAATAGAAGTGAGGATGAAACAGTCGTCTTTGGCAATAACGAGGAAGCAGGTTTAAAAAATCCTCCTCTGAACATCTTGGCCAATGAGAGACAGAAAAACAAACAAATGGGAGGCGCTTGGTTGAAGGATCTTCATCCACAGAGGCTAGAGCAGGGAGGCAGGACAGCTTCGAGCTCCGAAGTCAGCAGAAGGCCCTGGGGAAGCGTCCTGGACCTGCCGCTTTCTAGTTCAGTGACCCTGAGGAGGTTTTGTCACCTTTTAAAGGCTGTTTCTACATGGTGTCAACCGCCATTCTCTGCCTTTTCCTACTCATATCTTTGGTTCAAAGCACTGCCCTAATCCAAAGCTGAAATGAAGAAAACACTTCCAGGTACATGAGTATGGAAAAGAAAAAAAAAAAAACTCAAGAATAAATTAACCAAGGACGTTTAGGACATGTGCCCTGAAAACAACAGAACATTGAAATTAAAGAAGATTTAAGTAAATGGAAAGTTATCCTGTGTTCATGAGTTGGAATATCTTAAAATGTTAAGAAGGTATTAATAAAATGGTCCAAATGGGGAAAAAAAAAGGTCAAACCACTAAATCTCCTCTATTCTTTACTCTTCTTCATAGCAGTGTATCATTATCAGAAGTATAAATATTTTATTTATATAGTTCATCATCTGTCTCCCAGATGAGAATAGTAAGCGCCACAGGGCCAAGGATTTTTCATCTCCTTTGTCCATTGCTCAATGCCTGGTTCTTACAAGAGTGTACACAGTGGGCAATCAATAAATATTTGTTAAGCGAATGAAAAATCCATCAACCAATGTTGATGGGGCTCTACTCTAAAAGTTCATCTACAATCCAACTACTTCTCTCCACCTCCAGTGCTATCACCCTCTTCTAGCCACCAGCATCTCTGACTTGGACTATCACAGAAGTTGCTTAGCTTTACCTCTATTTTCAAAGCAGACATATTTTACTTCTGAACAATGCACTCTTTTCTTTAGTGATTAAAGCAAAGTATACCAGATATTTTTGATCAGCCACAAGACAGGCTGTTCTAGTTAACATAAAGTTCACGCAAAGTCATGTATAAGTCAGCATACCATTCCTCAGTATGTGAGGTGACATCCTTTTCCTTGTTAGTATCAGGGCAATGCTTGTCTTGTAAAATGTGTTTGGAAGAATAAGTGCAGAATAATTTTGCTGCAGTCACCTAAGAAATTGGAGATAACTTACAGACATCAAATTGGGAATGAATGTTGACTTCATTTGTTCTTCAGCAGTGACACTACCTTCCTTCCCCTACACCCCTGCCCCCAGCAAACACAGTCCCAGCAAAAAGTGAAATTTCAGCTTTTCATATTTGGCATAGGGGCATTTTCACCACTCCCTGCTTGAAATCCAAAGCCTATGTTCATTTAAGGAGGGAGCAGTGCTGGTAAGGCACCATCCCTTTGTTTCTTTTGTTTTGTTTTGTTTTGTTTTTTTGGCACCATCCCTTTGAAAGAGCTGGTGACTGGTATTTTCTGAGAGGGGGCTTAGGGTAGATTTTCAGAGGGTCAGTGGGTTGACATATTCTGTGGAAGCATGGTTCTTCTGCAGAGACTCTTGTTGTTTGGTTGGCACTCAAAGGGGTGTTTACTGAAGTGAGTGCATCCCTGGCTGGCTCATTTCAGAAAGCAGGGTTTGACAGTGATTGGTTGTGCAAATGTTCACAAAATGATTATCATGGATAGATCAATTGGTTTAAATTCAGGTCTGGTGGCTACTTGTTACCACTGCTACAGAACTGTCTTTTCCTAAGTTTGTGATTAGTATATGTTCTCAACATTTTACTTTGGCATAAAGCAAACATTATTTGTTTGTTTGAATATCCAAGTAATGTATAATAAAAATATTGATTTTATTATTGATGACCTTTCATTGATTTAGGCCTTGAGGGAATTATACTAAGTGAAATAAGTGAGACAGAAAAAGACAAATCCTGTATGCTCTTACTTACATTTGGAATCCAAGAAACAAAATAAATCAAAATCGAGTTCATAGACACAGAGAGCAGATTGATGACTGAGAGGGGAATGGAGGATGGGTTAAAGGAATGAAAGGGGTCAGAAGGTACAAATTTCCAGTTATAAAAGAAATGTTGTGGAGATGTAAGGTATACCATGGTAGTATAGTTATTAATAATAATACTATATTGAATATTTGGAAGTTGTTAGGAGAGTAGACCCTAAAAGTTTTCATCACAAGAAAAAAAATATATTTGATGTATATAAGATGGATGTTAACTAGACTTACTGTGTTTCATTAGTTTTTTCCAAGGAGCATTATAAGAATTTGCTTTTTCTCTTTAAAGCTTTGTTTCTGATCTCAAGGATGTAAAATTATTCATAATGTTCCAGGGACTAGCAAGTCTAATTAATTTCCAGGTCTCCTACATTGCAGGAGGATTTTTTTTTAAACTACTTTAGGTAAATTTAATGACTGTAAAAGCTGTTCGTAAAGCAGCAAAGAAATGCATTTTCCATTTCATAGAAAGTTGTTTCACCACTTGAGGCTTGGCTCCAAAGCTTCATCTTTCATTAGTGACCAGTCATATTTCTCCTGCTGCCAGAAAGGACTGACGCCAACCACTCAGGTCAGCAATATGCTGTGGAGTCCTTCAGAGTGGTGCAGGAGGATTCTTTACCATCTGAGCCACCAGGGAAGCCTAATCAATTTTTAAAATTAATTATTTTAATTGGAGGCTAATTACTTTACAATATTGTAGTGGTTTTGCCATACATTGACATGAATCAGCCTTGGGTGTACATGTGTCCCCCATCCTAAACTCCCCTCCCACCTCCTTCCCCATCCCATCCCTCAAGGTTGTCCCAGTGCCCTGTTTCACGCTTTGAACTTGGACTGATGATCTATTTCACATATGGTAATATACATGCTTCAACGCTGTTCTCTCAAATCATCCCACCCTTGCCTTCTCCCACAGAGTCCAAAAGTCTGTTCTTTTTATTTGTGTCTTTTTTGCTGTCTCACATATAGGGTCATCATTACCATCTTTCTAAATTCCATATATACTGCTGGGCATACACACTGAGGAAACCAGAACTGAAAGAGACGCATGTACCCCAATGTTCATCGCATCACTGTTTACAATAGCTAGGACATGGAAGCAACCTAGATGTCCATCGGCAGACGAATGGATAAGAAAGCTGTGGTACATATACACAATGGAAAAGAATGTGTTTGAATCAGTTCTAATGATGTGGATGAAACTGGAGCCTATTATATAGAGTGAAGTAAGTCAGAAAGAAAAACACCAGTACAGCATATTAACACATATATATGGAATTTAGAAAGCCTAATTAATTTTAACCCAGTAATATTTGACTTGTAGATATCAGTGCTCACGATCGGGATGGCCGAGTGGTTAAGGCGTTGGACTTAAGATCCAATAGACATTTGTCTGCGTGGGTTCGAACCCCACTCCCGGTAGAATTGGTTTTGTTGATGCCAAGTCATGTCCAACTCTTTTGCGACTCTGGGGACTGTTGCCTGCCAGGGATTTTCCCAACCGAGAGTTCTGGTGTGAGTAGCCATTCCTTCTGTAGGGGATCTTCCTGACTCAGGGATCCAGTTACTCTAGCAACTATCTTATCTGGAAATGACAGTTTCTTGTGCAAAGTTGGGTAATAGTCCAGCATATAGTTGACTCTGAACTGTTTTTATCCAATCTGACAGGTTCTGCCTATAATTGGTGGATTTAGGGAATTCAGATATAATGTAAATGATATACTTGTATTTAAAAAAAATCCACTGTCTTATTAGTCTCTTTCTATGTTCTCCTTTCTTTTATCTCTTTCTTCCTGTCTTTAAAATATGTGAACATCTTATATGATTTGATTATATCTAGAGTGTTGCCTTATCATTTGTATGTCTTAAAAAAATAAATAAACCTAGGGTTTTCTATATACAGCTACAATCATTCCAAA